AAAAGGTTTTTCAGACCACTAAAAAATACCGTCACAAGCACGCTAAGCAAGTTAACTGGGTTTTGGATAGTCGCCAGAGAATCTAGCAGACTACCAGCCAAAGTAGAAGAAGGAGCGGCAGCAGAAGAAAGAGCAGGAGCAGAAGAAGCCATTTGAAAGTTGGGTTAAGAGAAATGCAGCAGATTGAAAACTTGATGTTTAAGAAATGGCAAAAAGGGAAAGAGAAGTGACCAGAACAAAGAAACGAGTTTATATCAGCAGACGGCACTCAGAAGCGAAGTGACATTTCTATTTTTTCAAACATGCCACGTGGCTTACGTTACTAGCCATTAGCATGCAGGGGGTATTGTTTAGGCTAAATATGAAATGTCGCTCAAATAGGTCACAAGGTTAGTTGGGCTGAATAATTGAATCATCAGGCCCAATATAAATAAAAGGGGCTGACCCTAAAGCTCAATAAAGGCCACAACAAGTAAACAAGCTAAAATCTCATCGGCTGCAAATATTAGACCGTTGGCACGAAGACACAATCCTAAATAATGCTGAAATCTACGCCCAAGTAGTTCGAGGAAACGGGCTAGTTATCAAAATGAAGAGACCATGCCATGAGTTTCGTGAGATTCCTGATTCTTCGCAGAACGTGCTAAGTTTCAAGAAAAAGGCTTCCATTATTCTGACACTATAAATAGAAATAAAAAATATAGAAGAAACTAGTCAACACTCCATCAAGACTTGCACATTTTACATTCGTTAACCTTTTTTTTCAGTTTTTAGTTTTTAGTTTGTAATCTTTTTACACTTCAATAAAACCATACACTTATTCTACCAAAGCCTTATATCTTTTTACATCCAAGTGAACTATGATAAAGGAACTCAGGACCCTTTTCATTATCTATTGAGACTTATCGTTTCTGGCACGCCCGGTATTTATTGTTCAACCACGAACAATAATGTTTAACTAATTTTATCCATACCCCTTTAAATTTTATACAATCATGCAAGATGTGGATTGAAGTATCAAGAGTATTATAGCCAAAGGGGCAAACTCTACAGTAGGGACTAGCTTCATCTTATCTAACATAATTTTTTTTGGAGTTGGTCCTATTTCCAAAAAAATATTTTAATTTTTTTATAGGTGGGTCATTTTCAAATGGTAGACCAAATTTTACAATTAAGATCACCTTTTTGGCTTTCAATCTCTTTATCGGTAGATTTGATTGATATGTTATTATCGGAAGAGGGCCTCCAATATATCTGACTATTATAAGCATGATCAATAAGTTTGGACTTGGGTTAAGTCATAAAACATGTATATTTTATAGTTAAAAGGCCAAAACGAATGGCTTAAAGGACTGAATGTCTTTTTTTTTTTTGAACAAAAAGAAGGACTGAGTGTCTAAGTGAGTAACATAAGGCTTTTTTTTTTCCAAAACAAGTGAGTAACATAAGGCAAGGGCAAGCAACTTTTAGTATTTATAAAGTATTTTTTCAACTTCCTAAAAGCTAAAAGTTATATGGGTAATTTTTTTTGTTTTGGATGAAATCACATTTCAAAAATGCTTTGAAAAAGTGGGTGAAAATGAATTTGATTAATGTAACTTCAAGGAGCTTTTAAAATAAGGTAAAGGCGCAAATTTGGTCATATAGGTGCAAATTTGGTCATATACTATTTTTTGAGGAGCATTTAATAGCCTAAACTATCAAATGGAGCAAAATAAATCACGAACTTTCAAAAATGGAGCATCCAGTATCCCACTGTTAACTTCAACTGAAAGACATAATGTTGGTCCCACAATGACACGTGGCGCAACACGGGCACGATATGTCAGCATGGTAAATGTATAAATTTAACCACAAACTATTTTCTGAGGAGCACTAGGTAGCCTCTACTATAAAAAAATGAACCATCCAACACCTTCTCCTTAATTTTGACCAAACTCCATTTATTTTCATACCTTTGACAAAGTATTAATCTTTTCAATCTTCTTGCCTTCATTCTCAATCTCAGCTCAAAAAGAAAAGGTACAAAGAGTTCTTATTTGAAGATATTTACAAAGACGACGCTAACAAAGTAGAAAAATAATTAATGGCTAAATTAAGTTAGAATCAAGCTTCTCTCATGTATAATAAAATCAAGCTTCTATTTTATTTTTATCATTTTTGTGAATGTCTTTAAATAAAAACTCATTGAATCTCTTCTTTTGGAGCTAATATTGAGAACAAAGGCAAAAAAATTAGATAGATTAATGCCTTATGGGCCTCATAAGTATAAAAACAAACAGTGTTTGGTCAAAATTGAGGGAAAGGTGTTGGATGGTCCATTTTTTTATAGTAAAGACTACCTAGTACTTCTCAAAAAATAGTTTGTAGCTAAATTTATAACTTTATCATACTAACATGTCATGCCACGTGTCATTGTGGGTCCCACATAACATCTATTAGTCAAAGTTAACAATGGGCTACTGATGCTCCATTTTTGAAAGTTCATGATTTATTTTGTACCATCTAATAATTTAAGCTATAAGATGTTCTTCAAAAAATAGTATATGTTTAAATTTGTTATTTTACCCTTTTGAAATATGCATTTAGGGTTAGAGTATTAATGAACCAGTTAAAATAGGTACTTATTTTTGATATTATTATGCTACCCTTAATTCTTTTTCAATTAATTTTTAGTTTGAATGTATATTGACTATTTATATAATTTTTATCTAACATATCAAACTTTTCATATTTTTTATCTTTATTATTTAACATATTAAATTTTATGTTATTTAAAATTTTCATTATATATATATATATAATTTTCAAACATTTCTAATATGAATAGTTTGTATAACAGAAATTACAAATCATAAAAGTCAACATTTATTTTAATAATTGCATATTTAAAAGTATTTTTCATTATGTTACATAATTTAAATAATTTTAATGTTATCAAATTAACTTGGAAAAGTTACATTTAGGTTCCACAAAAGAAAATTTATTACTAAAAAGTCTTATAAGATTCATAAAATACTCCTAAATTTTAAATCCCGTGCATTTATAACTTGCAAAAGAAAATAATAACTTATAATATTAAGTTGTAAATGTTCATTACTTAATTATAAATTTCCCTTTTCAAGTTGTAAATATACAAAATTTAGGATTTGAAAATATTTTATAAATTTTATAAGACCTCTTAATTATAAATTCTCTATTTAGGTGTAATTTTTTCAATTAACATAAAAAAAATATATCCAAACATGTTAGGACAACTATTTTTTTACTAATTTTTATTAAATGAACATTTGACAAATTATTTTTAACTCACAAAAAGCAAACAATGCACAGGTCACCTTTGGGTATTAGAATGAAATGAAATGTAATGAATTAAAAAAGTTAATATAAAAATAAACTAAATCATCTTTCCTTCATGATAAATATAAAAAAACTCATTAATATATACTGTAAATGTAGGAAGTATCACATTTTTTAAAAATTTCATAAATCATGATTTACAATCTCATAAATTAAATTATTCTTTTTTTTAATGAACATGCACACTCATCTTTTTTTAATTATTTTTTATTTTTTTAATTTAATTTAATTTATTTTATTCTGACAAGCAACCGTGACTTACCTTCTCAAGCTCAAAGTCACGCTTCACAGCCTTCAGCGCGAGCGACAGACTCGTCACCTTCACTTCACTCTTTGACGGACGACAGCTCGTCACCTCCTGCTCCCTCACCCCTCGTCTCTTCAATCTCCGTTGTGCGATTCTCTTTCTCTGGTTCCTTCATTTAACTTTCGCCTTCAGTTATGCTTCACTTATCTCTCACTTGCTCTGAAATCTCTCATTTATCCTTATCTGGGTGTCTAAAGGTGCTCTGGCCAAATAATAGCATATCGTTTGAGTTTTTTTTCCCCCCTAAATCATTTTAATTTTTTTTCGAACATTAGATAAGGCAAATACTTGATTAGTTGGCGGACATTAGTGATGACAATTTATCGAGGAAAATAAAAAAGGGATCGAAGACGAGCTGTCTGAACAACAATTGAGCTCACTTTAGAAACGTTTTAGTTAAAGAATTAAAATTGTTCGATAATTTTTTCATGATTCTTTCCTGATAGTTCTAGAGCCAAAATGTGCCACTTTTTTGATGAAACTAGCATCAAATTAAAAGTCCTGCATAAAAATTTGACAAGAGCTTGTGCTTGTCCCATGAAAGTGGCACTTAGACATTACACATGATTGAAGAAAGATGACGATGAGTCAAGGCAAATACTTGATCTCTATCTCCTCCGATCCAACACCATAATCAAGAATCTCATTTCCTAAGTTCAATACGTCTTAAATCAAATATTCATTTTACTGTTTACTCATGATATAAGAATTCATCTAAGATTAACAAGAATAGAGGCTTACTTCACTTTCCTTCTTCAAGCCTCTTAGAGAAACCAAGATCACACTTTCCAGTACCATTCCCTGTATTGGGTCGAAAACCACAATGCTCACTGAACAAACAGTCACACAAATGCAGAAAAATCAATATGGAAGATAGTAAATTTGCTTATTCTTGTCTGCACACCTACAGAGTTCAAACTCTGAAGCCACCTCAAACCTTCAAATTTTAAAACATCTCCAAATCAATATTTTTTCAATGGAAGTTTAGTAGTATTATAACATTTTCTTCACTTTACCAAAAGCACAGAAATGCTCATCAACATAAAGCTTAAAGTTCAATAATTAATTCAACTTCCCTCCACAGCCACTTTTCACTTCCTCTCTTCTGCTCAATCTGTACTTTATAGATGAAATTACTTTGGATGATTCAAATTTAACAGTTTATAAAAGTATCATTTAGATGTTAGAATTTTAAAAATAATCAATACCGTGCAATTTTGATATTACAGTCTAGAATTTGAAGAGGAGAGAGGCTAGATTGACTAATAATAGCCCTCTCTTCTCTTGCTTTGTCTTTCATTTGCTTCTGAAGAGTGAATGAAACGATAAATTAATGGAGAAGTGAAAGATGATGTCAGTTAGTTTAAGTCAGGGTTTGGATTAAATGGTGATGGATTTAGATCCATAGTTCAAGGGTTTGAGTCACTTAAACAAAGGTCCAATGGGCTTTAACACCCATCCCTAGACAAGCAGGTACCATAGTAATTATCATAAACTGTATAACAGGAATTGATTATTTTATCATTGAACAGAATGAGTGAGAGGATTATATTTATAATACAAGAGATGAAGTGGTCTATAGAAAAGTGACAGTAACTGAAGATGTATCTTTCTTGCTCCTTTTCTTTCACTGGCTTTCTTGACACTTGTCATTCTTCACTTATTTTTTGTCCAAGGGAAGCCCTTTGAGACAATATCCTACACGGAAACAAACATCAAAACATACTTAGAATAAATGCAAGCAAATACTATATATATCATGAAAGTCCCTATTAAAAAAAATTATTACAAACCTCCCTTCTGGTCTCAGCTGATTTGAGATTATTCAGTGTTGCTTAGCTTAATGTCGGCTCTTCAACATATACTAGATATATTGCAGTCTTCTTCACAGTATATTTATGGGCAAAGTTAACTATAACTCCCACCTCATTTTCGGGTTCCAAATTAGATAATATTTTCTTCCATTCATCATCAGCATAAATTGTTGCAGCATCTTGCTCATAGGATGCTTTAGCATATTTTGTGAAATTATGTATCATGACACTAACTGGATATGCAGATGCCATGTTTTCTTGGTCAGATGAATAGATAACATAGAGAACCATCCCTTTCAAGCAACGGCCATCAACACAAGGCACTTTAAATGATACTAATGATTCTTCATTTTCAAAAACTAGCCAATGAGGATAATTGTTTCTAGGAAGAAGAGAATACTCAAACCCTCCATCATTGCATCCCTATTCCGCAAAAAAAAAAAAACAAAAAAAAGAAAAGAAAGAAAGAAAAGAAAAGAAAAGAAAAGAGGCACCCTCTTAATTGGAAAGAGAGGAAACATAATACTCACTATGTTGACATACTCCTCTAAAACATTATATGATATGTTCAAGCTAATAAAAATATCAAGGTTCATGACTCTTTTGTAGCACTTAGTTAGGAATATTTCTTGAGAATAAACTAATGGAGTATTAAACCACTGTTATTTTTAATTAAAAATACATCGTTGAGGTTTCTAAGGATTATATATAAAAAATTAATTAAAGAGTTGATGGCAATTTAATTAGTCGTAAACTCTTAATATGATGAAAGTTTCCTATTTGTTTATTAAATTTAGATATTTTATCCTGTGATGAATGGTCAAGATATAGTGGGCAATGCATTTAGCATGCATTGTTACACATCCACACAAACAGAACATAACATTGTTAAAAGCATAATGTGCATTTCCACACATGATATTGGTAAAAACACATTGTATAGTATATATCGTACATTTCAGTCTCAAAACATTTAATTATTTAATAGCTGTTTGAACTTATATTGAAAGGTGTTCTTTCAATATTGAGTTAAATTGTTGGTGGTATAGTGGAGAGGTCAAGAGAATAACCTGAGAAATGCTCTTCAAAATTGTATTGATAGCTTCATTGAACCCACCAACCTGAATTGTTAGAGAACTCATGAATCTTTCTGACCTTTTTGCGGTAACTTGCTCATCATGAAAACCGATCAATGCAGGAGCTTTTTTAGGCAAAGCTTGAGATGTGCTTGGTCTTGATTCCAATATTTTTTGACTTTTGGCTAACCAAGTATGTGACAGACCCTTGATTAAAAATGGCATGATCCCAAATGTTCGAAACAAGGACCTTGAGTGATTTCTTGGTGTCATCCAAGACAAAACAAGTGATGGAAATACATCACATGATGATCCTTCATAGCCACAGATAGACACATGTTTAATGCTTTTCAATCTCACCAATGCAAATGGCACTTGTGTTATAGCTGTTTGATTTGCCACTAATGTTGTTAAAGATTCCATTTGCTGGATATCTTCTTCCAGCTTTCCAATCTTTGAACAACCAAAAAGATTGAGAGTCTTCAAAGATTTCAATTTATATACACTTCTTGGGAGATGGTTAAGACTTTTGCAGTCCTTTAAATTCAACAAAATGATATATTTAAGATCTCCAATGGAAGGATGAATCACGGACAAACGTGAACAATCTTTGAGTATTAGCTTTTCTAAGTAAGGTAACCTTGAAAAGTTAGGTGTTTCTATCAAGTAATGTGAATGACTCATGTTGAGAATTTTCAACCATTCTAGTAACTGCGCAAAGAGAATATTTTAAAATAAATTAAACAATAAATTAAAAGAGAAAAATACATGAAAAATACAAGGTATTAAAAATTGAACTAATCATTGAACTAATCAAGGTATTGACTCAAGGATTAATGGTCAAAATCATGGTTGAACTATAGTCAAACTAGTCATAAACAAAGTATTTTATTGAATTAGGCAAGGTGTTGGTTAAATAGTTTACTGGTTCAATTGGTTAGGTTAAGCCGGTTTTCAATACTATATAAAATTAATGTCACCAGTGTTGAATTTCAGAAGGTAATTTGATATAGGTACCTGGCTTTTGTCCCACAGTTTTGCGAGACTACTCCACTTTAAGTCAATGGCAACTATCTTTTCTAGGCATATGCTCATTGGCATGTTTTCTAAGGAGAATCCCGAGCAACACAACCATCTCAATTGTTTTGGTAGATAATCATAGTCCCCAAAAAGTTACACATGATCAAGTTGGAGAAAATGAAGCCTCTTCATCTCCTTAAATACTTTGGTGTTGAAGGATAGTGAATTGTTTCTTGACATGCTTAAGGCCAACCCCTTGATAGCTATAGTTCCCTGTTAAAGACAAAAATGATATTTCACTACTTGAAATGTAAAATAATGCAAATATATGATAAAGATTTAGTCACAATTGACAATTAAAAAATAGGGATAGTGCATTTGAGTTGCAAAAGAACTTTGTGAAATATTGCAATTAAATCATTAAAAAGACATTTAGTTTGCAAAAGAAAGTCATTGAGAAAACATTCTTACAATATTATTTCTCAACACATCCAGCACATCTTCATGAAACCATAATCTAGTACGTTTCTCAGGTTCATCTGGTAACTTCTCACGAATGATTTCTCTTCCCATGTCAAACAGTAAGTCATGTGTCTCAAGTTTATTCTTGCTGCCAATTTTTACAAGGCTTAACTCTATTAATCGACTAATTCCACTTGTTGCATAAAGTCCACAACCATCTAGTATTTGTGTAGCATAGCTTCTATCCTTCCCAACAAAAAAACAACATATGTCAAGGAATATATCTTTTTCTGTATGGTCACTTAAGCCATCATAACTTATTTTTAACTTTTCATATATTCGATCATTTGGAATTCGTTGCAATTTTTGCAAAACACTTTCCCAAATAAGTATTTCCTTATCAAACAAATGCGAGCCAAGGATTTCAAGCGCTAGTGGCAACCCTCCGGAGTAAGACACTACCCTTCTTGAAAGTTCTAGGAAATCGTGTTTAGGCATCGATTGCTTAAATGCATGCCAACTGAAAAGTTCAAGAGATTCATTTCCATCCATTTCTTTTGTACTATATACATGAATCACTCTAAGGATCTTAAGTAAATGCTCATCTCTAGTTGTGATGATTATTCTACTTCCTTGACCAAACCATTCATGGCTTCCACACAAAGCTTTGAGTTGGTCTTCATTGTTCACATCATCAAGTACAAGAAGTACCCTTTTTGAGAAATTTTTTCCTTGATTATTGTTTTTCCCATTTCTATATTTGGTAGTGTTATTCTTCTTGATTTTAAGATTCCTGAAAGAAGTTGTTCCTGCAAATAAACTTGACCATTATTTTGCTTCCAAGCTTCCCTAACATTTGCAAGGAAACTCTTTCCTACAAAGCTTTGACCAACTTCATTGTAAATGGCTTTAGCAATGGTTGTCTTGCCAATTCCCCCCATTCCCCAAATACCTGCTATGACAACTTCATTTGATTTACAACTTAGCAATTGGATGATTTCTTGTATGCGAGGCTTCAATCCCACTAGGTGTTGAGCGACAAAGAGGCTTTTGTTGTCATCTATCTTCATTGTAATGGTTTCAATAACATGGTCAATCAACTCACTTTCAGTGCTGTTAACAAGATATTAGATAACAATACAAGTTCTATGAAGAATCCTTAAAATGAATGTTACAAGTTATATATGAAAGCAATGAAATGATAGCCACAATCTGAAGTACAGATAATAAGTTTATAATTTCTCAATTGTTTAGAGTGTTAAAATGTCCCTGTTTCGTAAGATTAAAAATGTTACAAGTTCCTGAAACACCAGCTACAGATTAGAAGGATGTAATTTCTAGATTTTAAGTCATTTAAAGGTAGGCAAGATTGTGCAACTTAATTATGATTGTTTATAATGTATAGTATGTTACAACCAAGTACCTTGTGACATATTAACAGCGAAGAACCTTACTCAACTTTTGCTTTTTTTATTAGTAAGGGCATTTATGTCATTTAGCCCTCAACAATATTGACAATGAAAAACCTTCTTTTGAAATATGTCCTATGGCCTTATGTGCGAATAAATTTGTGGTGAGGTCTTTTTTAGTGATTTTCAAAAAAAAAAAGAAAAAGAAAAATAAGCTCTACACAACTGTTTGTTGGAAGTCTAAAAACCCAAGCCCAATACATTGAGTTTAACTTAAGTTCATTATTTACCCTTTTCTGTTATTTTATTTATAGTTTTTAGCTTTTAACCTAGATTTACCCTACTTGGCTAAGTACATACGTTGGTTGAGTATGTATTTGTGGAAAAAGAAAAAAGAGCAAGCAGCCTCTATTCCTCATAGTATCATATCTGAGCTCATGCAATCCAGCAAGATAAAATGAGTATAAAAACCATTATAAGCAAGCAACACTGAGTTGCTCAACCTAGACTCACATCCCAAGGTGTCGTACCATTTGAACACCATAGACGAAGACCATCATCTCCAGTTTGGACGTTTCAAAGTGCCAACCTTAGAGACGCACACTTCAAATGAAGCCCCAAACCAATCGAGCCAGACAATAGCCTCTGGCTCTAATATGATGCAGTACCAAAACCTCAGACCTATCGAGTCGAATTTCAAGCCACAAGCTTGATGGCGAGAATTACCTCCAATGGTTGCAGTCTTTTTTATGTTCATTAGAGGCAAAGGGAAGGAAGAATACACTGATGGAAATGGAAGGTCTTCTACTCCTAATCCCAATAAACCCAAGTGTGCAATATGGAGAATAGAGAATGACCAAGTCATGTCTAATTGGTTGATAAACTCAGTAACCATCGATACTAAGAGGAATTTCATGCTCTCCACTTCCGCTCAAGATATTTAGGTGGCTGCATTAGAGTTATACTCTACTGCGTCCAGCATTGTTGTTTTATTTGAGATTAAGCAAGGAAGCTCTACTATATCACTCTCATTCAGTTGTGGCAGCAAATAGATTCATATGAAGTTCATGTGTGGTCCTGTTATGAAGATGCAAGGTACTACAAACAAACGGGAAAATCGCAATAAAGGATCAAGGAAGCAAGTTTTTTGCCCCCCTTTCAAAAAAAAATCAAAGGATTTTGATTTTATATTGCAGTATTAGAGGGCTTAAATGTAAATAAATTTACGTGTGAAATGACAAGAATGCCCTTTTTTTGTTGGAAAAAAAGGTCGACTCATGGTTGCTAGTACCAACTAATGGACTGTCGCTGAAGATCTTGCCACTAGTGAGGTCCTATGAAATGACAAGAATGCTCTTGTTAGATGAACATCGCTTATTATTTTGCTAAGTTTACTTGGTGATTGCAATCTAGAATATAAACCAGATGGTGTGCCAGTAGACACTGAAAGTTATAAAAAACTTGTGGGTAAGCTAATTTATTTGTCCCAAACAGGTTCAGACATAAGCTTTCCTGTGGTTGTGGCAAGCCATTTCATGAATAAGTCCCATGAGCAACATATGGAGGTAGTATACAAAATATTGAAGTATTCAAAAGGTATAGAAATTTATACCAATGAAAACCATGGAAGACCGTTGATAAATGGAGGTCCACCACTAGGTACATCTCTGTATTTTGGGCTCTACTTTCGTGTCAATGACATTAAAGGAACCAGCTTTATGACTTTTAGATCAAAGATTACAGTGTGCACGTCCGTTTGTATGGCATTGCCCTCCTTTCACGCCAATGCAATTGGCAAGGAAAATAACGGTAACAATTAGTCAATTACCATGATCACCGACGCTGATGGAGCCGAATCTAGAATTAGAGATGTTCGATAATTTAATTTAAAAATTAATAATTGTTTAAAAATAATAATTTTATTAAGATTAAAATTGTAGTAATATAAGTAGATTGATCATTATTTTTAAAAAAAATATATATTGAACACGTTAATATGATCTTTCGTGTATATATTTTCTTCAAATCTTATCTCAATCATTAAACTATTATATATCCCCTTTAGTTCTATTTATAAGTTACTTCTAGCATGTTTTACAAAATCAAGAAAAACATTAAATTTCATTAACTTTGTCTTAAAATTTAATAAGTTTTCACATTTACTTCTAATAAATATTCTTAAATCTTATTATTAATATTTTTATTCAAAAAATTTATTAAGGATAAAAAAGTAAAGATGAGCATTGAAAATTAGTAAGTGCCTTATAAATATGATCAAATTTCTTCTTCTTTCTCTATCTGATAAATAGGATTAGAGGAGTATCTAATAAGCTTTTGAACTCAAAATATTTTTATTACAATAAGGACTGAAAGTAGTAAATAATAACATATCTACTTCTTCTGCTCCTATTTATAAAATACCTTCTATAAATAGTTTTTGATTCAAAATATAAGACATCTTGTAATAATTAAACTATTTTTTAATTTTATTTCTTTTTAATTAACATAAAAATATTTAATATAATTGTATTTTTCTCATAAAAATAAAAGTGTATATCACTTTTTATGATATTAAAAAAAATAATTTTTTTAATGTATGCAGCATACTTAAAACTATTTTATAATAAGAACCGGGAGGGAGTATAACAAAAGAGGATGTCCTGAGCTGCACCAAATCATCAGACTCCGAGGATGACAGCTTGAAGCCAGATAGGCATGAAGCTGCTGTTTTATGGCAATTCGACCACGGTGGTACAGGGGGAAAAAATTACTAATATACTACACTTTTAAATATATTTTTCTAAATATTATAAATTTAAAACTTAATTTTAATCAAGCCAAGTTTTAAAATTTTTTAAATATAAAAGTATAAAACTCAATCTTCGTTAGACCAAGTTCAATATTTATATATTTTTTAAAAAAATAAAAATTGATGTGATAAGCATGATAGGTTATGTTTATTGCCTATCACTACCCCACCTTAATAGGTGACGGCATTCCACAATTTTTAGATATGAGAAAGGGGTAAGTTTAATTTATATGGCTTGACCTTAAAAGCCTCAAGCTCATAAATTTGATCATTTTAAAATCCATCATTTTTTGAAACTCAGCCTTTAAATGACTCAAAATCAGACATGCAAGTCCTTTTTTATTATTTTAAATTTTTTTAATTTTTAAAATTTTAAATTTTTAATTATATTATTTCATCTTTTTTAAAAATATAAGTTATAATATCCGCTAAAATAAAACAAGTCTAAA